TGAATTTGACATGCCTTTGTTGGAAGTTATTTTCAGAAGAGTATTAATGTGCATACACATCTTATTAGTAATTCTATTTCTCAGTATTTCTGGGAAATTATCTTCATCACCCAGGTTCCATTGGCCAAGTTACTAAATGGCTACCCTGTTACTGAACACTTGCCAATCTTGTCTAAGGAAGAATTCCTCTTTTAAGAATGAGAAGCCAGAGTTCTTTCCTGATTTCCTTGCTATGAAATGTGGGGGAAATTTTTTTTGACAAGTGAGTCCGTCCTTCCATGCCTGCGCTGCGCCCTACAGTTCTTGGACACTTAAGCACTGAGATTCTGTTCTGCTATCCTTCCAAAAGAAAATGGTTCCTTCTGAAATTCTGAGTTGAGACTAAATCAATCCTTGCTTGAAGATCCAAATGTCTAGGAGCTGAAGCTTCCATGGACTACAGAGAAGCTGCAGGTTCAACTTTGCTTTCTAGAAATACACTCACTGTGTAAACCACCTCTCTTGAGTTGTGTACTCTTCAATACTGAAAGTGTAACTGTAATATTCTCAGCCATCTTATGTCACACACTTACCTGAGGACATCTGCTTATTGCTCGCCAGTTTTTTTGTTTTTTTTTTTAAAGATTTATTTATTTTTGCATACAGAACTGGGGTACAGGCCAGAGGCTCAGGGGCGGCGAGAGGCCTCACCAGAGACAGAGTGGGGAGCAGAACAGGCAGATCGAGGAAGTACACTGCTGAGGGGAGCAGCGGGCGGGTCAGGAGAGGTCTGCCTCGCCATGTGGTCACCTCCGGGGCAGGCGGGAATCGAACTCATGCAGAAGCGGCTTTAGATTCTCAGTGCTGTGCTTTAACCCACTGCGCCACCAGGGAGGGCCCTGCTCGCCAGTTTTAACCACCTTAACTTCATCACTGTTGTAAAACAATGTAGACTTGTTGAATGAAGTGCAGACTGAACAGGGAGTTGAGCTGACATACCTCTAGGAAAAGTCAACATGTACTACTGACCCTGACAAATGAAGACAAACTGTTTCTGGAAGTTGATTACTGGAACACGGGGGTTGCCAGAACGGTAAAATGTACAATAATATAATGTATTATTTGCTCCAGTAAAGAACCCTCTGAACCAGTAGCTGAATTTAACCTGGTGATACCAGTGTCAAATTTGTGGCCTCTAGAACTTAAGAGGATATATTTGTATGAACTAAAAGACATTAAGTGGGAGCCAGGCTACCTTCAATTATGAATATATTTTTTAAAAAAAGAATAAGTTGTAAGTATTAAATTTACAATAATTATGTGATGGTTGAGACTAACCTTTGCATACCTGTCATATCGAATTGCATAAATGGCATAAAAAATTTGTTAAAAGGAAAAAAAAATACGTGCAGATTGTTTCACACACAGTTGCTGTGATTGACATAAGTGAAAAAAATAAAGGGCTAAAAATGAAAACAATAGGTTGAGGTAGTCAAGAGAATGCAGCCTACAGGAAAATTGGGATTCTGATGCTAGTCTGACGTAACTTTTGCACAAAACTATTTATTAAAACTTTACTTGTAATAGCAAAAAATAGTCTTCTAGCCATAGGAGACTGTAAAACCTGTGCAATGTTCTTAGTATGAAGTTCCATGCAACAGTAAAATTTTGGGAAAATGTCCGTGAACTGATGTGAGGTGACTTCCAGAACATATTGTTCAACAGGAAGAAAAAGCAGCATGAATTATATTGCATGCTGCGTTTTCTGTAAGGGAAAAATGTGAGATAAGTCTATATATGCATTAACTTCTTTAAATATGAAGTGAATGATAATGAGGGAAGAAACTAAAGGTGGAAGGAAGTCTTCTCTAAATACACTTGTTCAAGATAGATTTGGCTCTTGAGCCATGTAAACAGTTTAAAAATTCAGAGAATAAAATTTAAAAGGATAAAGTTAGCAGACACCAAAATAAAATGCACACATAATCAAATAAACCTAGTTATATATCCAAAATAATATAATTACGGATACACTTACCAGAAGTAACTTTAACACAATATTCAATACAAGCAAAGAATAAAGGAACAAAACTGAAAAATAGTGTTCATATTTATTTGGTTTATCAAATACCCAACCTCCTATTTTCCCTCTCCCTTCTGACAACTACTGAATGTTCTTATAGTCTAAATGTTTATTTTTGTTTTATTCAGTTCATATGTTTGGTTTCACTGCAGACCACATGTGAATGAAATCATATAGTGTTTGTCTTTCAGTCTGACTTATTTCACTAACAGAGGTACAGCTATACAATGAAATATTATTCAGCAAGAAAAATGAGTTCTCAAGACAGAAAAAGGCATGTAGGAGTCTTAAATATATATAACTAAGTGGAAGAAGTCAGTTCAAAAGTAATATGCTGTAAGTTTCCATCTCTATATAACACCATGGAAAATGCAAACCTATAGAGATAGCAAAAAATCAGTGGTTTGGGGAGAAGTGAGGGATGAATTGGAGGAGCAATGACTTTAAGTCAGTGAAGCTATTCTTTGTGATACTGTAATTGTGGACACAAGAAATTACGCATGTCAAAATCCACAGAATTGTACAATACGACATCTTCATATGGAGAGGAACCACTTAAAGAGTTACACCCAAGGACTGTATCCCAGAAAACTCATTTGCTGAAGGACCTCACATGACAATGGATTTTAATGCTTTAAAGGAATGAGACTCTGGAGAGCAGATAAATGTACTTTGTATGTGGAAAAAAAAGGTGTAACATTAGTGGCCAGAGAGTGAATTTTGGAAGTTTTAAATCATGACACCAAATTACTTAACTTTCTTCCATCAAAACGATTCTGTAATTGGGGCCCTCTCCACAGACAACATTATCAAGCTACCTGCAGCCACTGAAACTTGAGTTTGATCCTGTGCCAGGGAACCAATCCATATGGCACAGCAGACCTCTCCTGTCTGACCGCTGCTTCCCTCAACAGTGTATTTCAGTCATCTGCTCCCCATTCTGTCCCTGGCGAAACCTCCCCCCACACACACATCTCTGACTTACATCCCAGTTGTTATACGCATAAATGAATCTTTAATAATAAATACAATGATTCTGTTATTGCTTAATTAACAGAATACAGAACTTAAGGCTGTATTAGGTTCTGGTTCCAGGTCTTATGAGTTAAAGAATAAATATTCATATATTCGATACTATTAAAGATGGCAAGGCACACTTTACTCAGGACCATCACAGGAGGTCAGGCCACTGCAATGGGACTGTGCAAAGTAGGAGAGATGGGTTCAAATCTGAAAACAGTAAGGGTAAGTAGAAATGTAGCCACAAGGAGCTGGGGGTTAGGTGTTAGTAAGAGGAATCACCAAGGGTAAAAGGGATTCGCAATAAACCGACCTAGACAGATTTTTGTTGAAAGTAGGGCAGGATGATCTGACACCACCTGGTTGAGGGTTGGAAAACTATCAGACATGAAGAGGGGGGTTAACGCTAAATTGGGTTTTACAAGGAAGTGCAAGGTGGTCCCAGCAGCAGGTTAGGGGGTCTAACTTGTTCATGAGCCTTTATCTTAAGAAATTAGCGGTTTTTTATTTCCTGTTTTTGGGGACGCCTGCTTTCAAAACCCGCTGCTACGCTGTGCAAATCAAGACCACACAGAAAAGCCATTTGCAGGTATTTCAGCAGCCTCAGCTGAGGTACAGACCAGTCAGCAATAAACATGCGCATGTCCTTGGGATGACTTTAGTCCTGGTTATTATGAATGCACCCACAAGAGAGACCCTAAAAGAGTCGGCTAGGGTGATTAACTAGCTAATTCGTTCACTAGCTAAGCCTAGTGAACCTCCAGAACCACCAGCGATTACACGAATGCCCGCTCTAAGTGCGACTGCACCCCGACTTTAACTCTGCAGGCAATTCGCTATTTCGGACGAGAGTCTGGAGCCCTTTCCTGAGAGCTATGATTGGCTCACATGTCAAACAAGACAGTCTGCTCAATGGGCGTTCCCGTGCCCTGGAAGGGTGCGAGCCTATTGGCAGGAAGCACAACCGGTCTCACCTCCGTAGTGTAGGCAAAAACCTGAGACAGCCACAAGAGTCTGGCACCCCCGGAAGTGACGCTAGAGCGTCTTCCTTGAGAGTGGTCCAATGAATTCTCTTTGGGGCCGCAAATCCAACCCTTGAGCCCGCCCAAGAGGAGAAACGTTCTGATTGGTTTAGTCCAGGGCCACAGATATTCACCGGAGCTGGATCAAGTCCCGTCACTACAGTTGGGTCGGCTACTCCGTCGGCCCGCCCCTCTGGATGGGCGGGGCCTTGCAGTCTCTTGGCCCCGCCTCTTCCTGGGCTGGCTCGCGAGGTGTCTCCAGGCTGCAAAGGCTGGGAACCAGCCGCGTGGGCGGGGCCGCTCTGGCCGACCCGGACAGTTTCTCGGCCTCCCAGGGCTGGTGGTGCCCCGAGTGCAGCGCCGAACGGGGCGGGCCCGGGTGGAGGGCGAGCGCGGGGGCGGAGCTAGGGCGGGGCCGGAGGAGGCGGAAGCGGCGAGCGAGCTCTGGCCGGAGCCATATAGAAGCCAGCGTCCGGGCCCGCGGAGCGGCGTCGGCGGGGTTGGCCGGGGCGGCGGGGCG